AAAATGAAGTTATGTCAGTCAGTATATATTTATCTAAAGTAGTGAAAAAGAATAAACCAATTAAAAACAAAATTAAAAATTTTTAATGAATATATATTTAGATACCTTAAAATGAAGCATAACACAACACTCTTTTGACAAATTCCAGAGCAAATTTTTAAAATTTTTCTATTCCTTATTATTTTATTCCTTATATCGATAAAATACATATTAAATGCCACATTCAACTAATGTAATTAATACCTTTATTAGATCTCTCTTGATTAACTAAAGAATTTAAATTTCAAATAAACTCTAACTAAATTTTAACAAACAAACAACCAAAATAAATCTTCATATTAATAGTACGTTATTAAGTTGATTAATAGATCAAACAACTTAATCTACTCTAATAATCTACTAACTTATTAATAAACTTTAATTTTTTTCCTACGACTCAGTGTAACTATAATATATATATTTTTAAAGTAAAAAAGAATTTAATATTATAATATATATGATTTAAAAAACCTGAAATTTTAAATCTACCTCGAAGAAAACAGATATATAATAAAAAGTATTTTTATTTCTTTTTAAAAATTTTAAAATGCTTTATAACTTACTTGTTTCATATTATTACCAACGTCTAAATAGAAAAACAAAGATATATGAGTTATATATAGGATTTTAAAATATATATGATTTTAAAAAACTGAAACTTTAAATCTACCTCAAAGAAAACAGAGATATATTGAAAAGTATTTTTATTTCTTTTTAAAAATTTAAAAATGCTTTTTAACTTACTTGCTTCAATATTGTCATCATCTAAATAGAAAAACAAACAAACATTTAAGTAGACTTATTCTTAAATCTAGTTTAATTTCTTCAATAATAAAAAAAATTTAATCTTTGAGGATTAAATTCATTTACAAAAATCCGTTTAAACCATTTTAACATTGTAAAGTTAATTTAAAGTTTTAAAAAACTGAAACTTTAATTCTACCTCAAAGAAAACAGATATATATTGAAAAGTATTTTTATTTCTTTTTAAAAATTTAAAAAGACTTCTAAACTTACTCCCTCCAATATAATTATATAATATATATAGTATATATGATAAATAAACCTCCACAATTTCCTTGGTTTAACAACTCGATTATGATTTATAACAACTCTGTAAACATGAATTTTCTAATAACCTAAATAAATTACAGATAGACAAACATAAACTAACACAATTAAATCCTAAACCAAAATTCATTCATGCAAGACAAATAATTTTATATTTATTGAAGAGCCAGAAACATATTTTTTTTCAAAGAGCTAAAGTATTAACAATATTAAAGACAAATTTTATTTATAACAAAATTTTCAATAAAAATTAAATTAAGATAAATTTATAACAAAATGTTGTCATGGCTTTTATCCCAATAACCAAAACTAAGTGAAAGCATGAAACTACCCATAAATATATTTTAACGCTAGACACAAATTAAGAATTAAAGTAATCTATAACACGAAGCTTTAAATTTAAAATTACAATTTAAAAAAGATTACAATAAATTAATTACTTTTAAATTTAAAAAAAAATTTAGATTACCTATAATTTTAAGCTACTAAACATTATCTACTTAATGTCAACTTAGATATTTTGAACTCGTACCATGAAAGGTTGAAGGGAAATCTGTATTTAAGCACGCGGTAAAGAAAAGTCTAGAAACTACTTAAAAAGTGTATTTTACAGATACAGAACCGTACCGTAACTATAAAACAATACGCGTAACTATGCGCACTATTAATATTCATAGGCTATTCATTATAGGCGATTAAGAAATTTTAAATTTCATAGTAAAATATTTTAGTGTTCAAAAATTATGACCATATAAAATTTAAAATTTCTCGATAAATATAAGTCTAAAGTACAAAATATTTTTTGTACTAAAATTACAAAAAATATTTGATCAACTTGTTGCTCTTACGTTTGGGACAGGAGAGGGGGGCTACGATTTTAGGGTTTCTTGTTCCCGTTATATACGGCAGTTTATATTCTTAGCTTAAGTAAAAGTATGTCACGAACTCGTTTTTCAATCTTTTCTAACGTTTTTAGAATAAATAGTTCAAATAATAGAGTTTGTTTTTGCTAGTGACAGACGTTATATTCGATCATTCTATTCAAATATATTAAAAAATTATACCAAGTTAGTGCGTTTTAAGCTATTTTTCTCCAAATGCAATTTTTCTAAATTAGTCAGGTCCGGTGCAAGGGCTATGCAAGTTATGTGGTCGCATAGGGCGCCGGCTTGGCTGGGGCGCTGCGCTGGTGTTGCCGACGTTTTTTTTTCTTATTTTCTTTTAAATCATTGAAATCTTTTTTTTTTTTTTTTTGTTCTTTACTACATCTTAAAAATATATATAAAATCTTAAATTTCGATTTAAAAAAAATACACTTATATACATTTTTTAGCGTCCATAATGTGTATATGTACTGAGTTGTTTACATATTAGGGGCGCCAAACTTTATATGCTAGATTAATGATTTTTTGCAGCTTTTCTCAGCACTTCAATGAAAAAATAACTAGATCGAGGAAAGCAGTTAATTATTTTTTTGAAAGAATAAGTTTGTGATTTGATTGTTTATTTAAATTATATTAAATATTTATTTAAGTGTAAAATCGCATTAAAGGGGGCGCAAAGTTTTTATGTCTTTTTAAGTTTTGAAGCTATATTTTATTCTGTACAAAAGCGCTTCAATTTACAACTAAGTAAAACTACATCCATTTCATTTTTATTTAAGATTTAGCCTTTTCTTAAAAAAATAAAGCGTATAAAAATACAGTACAAAGTCTTATTTTAAAACAAAAACTTTATTTTACAAGATATACCAAAAAAAAATCCTTGAACCGGCTCTGAAATTAATGTAAACTTCCCATCCGTTTCCTAATTATTATTTAGACCTTTTAGAGTTCATAGTTTTTTGGTTAAAAATTGGGGGTTTCGGGACACAAATTGTAAAAGCGGGGACTTTGAATATGGATTTCATAAAAATTTTTGTATCTATATATATATTCAAGTATAAGATAGCTTGCGCACAAACCTAACATCGATTTTGAAAAGATGTTTAAAAGCCCTTTTTCAATAATATTTTTAACAAGTCAAATGTTTATAAAAGTAAAATATTTGCGTTGATTTTATAATACGAAAAATACCTTGTGCGATTCATTTATCCTTTGTTAACAAACAATACGAAAAATACTTTGTGCGATTCAATTATCTTTTGTTAAAGAAGTATATAAAAATTCTTTCGAATAAAAATCCTTTACATGTAAGTATAAATATAAAAGTATTGCATATAAACACGTACAGAACGTGTAATTTTTAAAAACCTACACTGCGTCATGTTTCCAAGAATTGTATGCAGCTCAACTCTGTGAAATGTATGCAACAACTGAACTCTGTGAAAAGACCATTAGGTTTTAATCAAGCATCTTAATAACAAGCAAAATACATAAAATTGCATGAAAATGAATATAGAGTAATTAATTATAAAAATTACTAATACAAAGTCTACCTGGCTTTTTAGACCACATTAACGTTTTGATACCACCGTAATCTTGCCATTTTTTAAAATAAAATTTGTATTACAAAAATTTACAGGCCGTAAAAACTTTAAAATTGAAGCTTGGGATATAGATTTTTTCTTAAAGTTAAAATATACTTTTTTAATTTATCAACCATTTTATAATAATATTATTTTTATAATAACATTTCGAATTCAACTTCATATGCACGTTTGTGTAATAAACTTTTTCAGTATTGTGAAAATTTTAAATAATGAGCTCACAATGAAATAGATTAAAAGTTTTAATTAATTTTTTAAAAAATTATAAAACTAAACCATTACAAAACACGCTTGTACCACGTTTGTACCACGTTTGTATTTGCATTGCATATACATTTACACTGTATATACATTGAAAATCTTGAAATATATTACATAAAATATTTTGGCATTACACATTTAGTTTTTAGAAGTACAAAAAGTGTAACTTCTACCTACAAACTCCCTTTCTACTCACTTCTCATTTTCAAAATGAAGCGATTTAAAATTCTGAGTAGACTTTTAAATCAATTAGAAAAGAATTAAATCGTCTACGTTATTTATTATACTTATAATTTTTTAACACATGGCAAATAATTAAGTTAAGTTAATTTAAGTGTCTCTGAAAATAAGAAAAAAAGGCAAGAAAAAAGGTAAAAAATACTCGTGTAATTAATGAATGAAAAAGCTTTTAAAAAAGACGCCTTTTTAAATTTTAACAAATTTAAAGCAAATTCTGATTAATCTCTTGATGTTCTCATTAACTATCTATCAACTGAAAATGAGACAAATAGAGGCGGGAACTATCTTTTAACTAAAAATGAGATAAATGTGGGCGGATATTAACTAACTATCAACTGAAAATGAGGCAAATAAAGGCGGTATAGCTTTAATCAGTTCAGCGCAATGGTTAAAAGTTAGATTACTTTTTTTATAGAGATCATATTAAAAAAAAAAAAACGCATTTATAAAAGCGGCATCGTCAAGAAATTCCCGTAGTGTTTTCAAAGAAGTCCTCATTGTCATGAAGTTGTCATAGAGATGAAGTTCCAAATAATCATGATTTTTGAATTTGAAAAAACTTAAAATAAAATGTCATGGATTATTAAGTAGAATCTTCCAGTAACTTATATACAAGTTCATTTACAATTTTTATATTTTTTAAAATAATTTTTATTTCACTTTGTTGATAAATTTAGTTTTTGCTTTGCTTAATTTATTTTCTGTAAAATCAATACTTATAAACATTATAAATTATCATTAATTAGTTAATGATGCATCATTAATTAATTATCATTAAACAAAAAAAAAAAAGTTAAAATATTACTATATACAAAAAAAAAAAAATATCAAAAGTTGAAAATTAAACAATTATTATTATAATACTGAAATAAAAATTTAAAACAAAATTTAAATAAACTAGAAATTATATAACAAAAATGCGATATAAAGAGAAATAATGACTCGTTGCTAGTATTTATTTTCCTTTTTCTTCATCCGTTTGCTTTTTTCCTCTGTACCCTTTAACTCTTTTCCATTTCATTCTTCTATTTTGAAACCAAACTTTGACCTGTCTTTCACTTAAACTCAAACTGACCGCTATTTCATAACGCCGAAGCCTTGTTAAATAGTTGTTTCGCACAAATTCATTCTCCAGATCACGGATTTGATCTTTAGAAAACGCCGTTCTTTCTTTGCGAGGTTTTATTAAACTTGTTGTCGCCGTAGTATCTGCAAATGATAATTTCTTTATTAACAATATTTTGATTTTAAACATTTTAAATATAGAAAGTGCTAAATAAATACTTTTTCAATAAAGTTTTAAAAAATAAAATTTACTTTCAACTTTTTAAATACTTTGAATTGAAAAAAAAAATCTTACCACAATATGATTCTGAAAATGGAGAACATTCTGGGTTATGTCTGAAATCTAACATTTCTGTGTTTACAAGCGCGTTACAGTAGCTAGAGTTACTAAAATAAGGCGTCGTTCCAACGGAGATTTGATTTTCAAGAACTTTATATGATCTAACCATGTTTGGACTAGCTTCATTTAACGAAGTCAGAAAAAAGTTATCAGTTTCGTAACAATATTTAGAAGTAGGTGATGAAGAATATATAGTAGCAAGTGTGGTATTTGAAATTAAATCGTAAAAAGGCACTTCAGTTTCATTTTTCATTGAACGCATACGCTCTTGGGGATTGTAATTATACATAAGAAAATCATGGGGAGAGATGTAATACCTGTTTAGAGCGTTGATTTCATGAAAGTTATTTTTGAAGAACCTATTGAAACTCGAATTTTCAGGAAGATGTGATAACCGGGGTGGTTTTTTATCATCAGTACGACTTCCATCATTGTCGGCTAAATACATTGTTTGAATAAAAAAAATTTCTGCTTATTTATCTCCTCTTTTCTGCTTTTTGCTTGATTTTTTTTTATTTCTTTAAATCTTTTTTTAAACTCTTTTAGAAAACAAATTTACTATGATTTTATGATATTTTTTGTTCACAAGTTTCAAATAGTTTTTAATAGATAGTTCACAAGTGGTATATATTTTATAATATGTCAAAATCTATAGCTGCAATTTTCATTAGTGCATAAATGAAACAAATGAATAAGGTTTTAATGTCTAAAGAATTATTTTTTTTCGGATTAAGCTATCAAGAAATCAATTGTTCCAAATTGACCTTTACTTTGATTTGATCGCTATTTCTATATCCTTTTTTTATTTATAAACTTTATTTTTAAAACGTAGTGTAATCACTTTAATGGTTTATAAAAGACAAAATGTACATGTGTGCCATTGAAAAGAATGTAAAGATTGATGAAATGTATACATTTTTTATGATGATCATTTCAAGAATATGGTTGCTGAACATTTATTGGTTAAAAAGACAAACAGTCAGATTGTTATTTATGTTGTATAAATTACAACTTGAATGGTTTTCTTACCAATAATATAATAATATTCATAATAAAACCAAAATAAAGTTTGAAAAAAATTATAATTTTCTTAAAATTTCTAAAAATAATTTTTATTTTAAATTCGTTTTTTAAAGTAAATGATAAACAAAAATAAAATGATTATTAGTTTAAAAATCTTTTTTAAAATTAATATTTTAAAAGTTTTTTGACTTAAAAGCAGCAATTTATTTGCAAAAAATTACGCTTTATTATTAATGGTTGAAACTGAAAATTTTAATTTTAAATTGCAATTTTATTGCACAGTTGAGAAGAGAAATAATAGAAAGTAATCACAAAATAAAACAAGTTTAAGGCATTATGGGATATCTTGCTAGTTTTTGAACAAGATGTCAAAACAATACATGTTTTTAATAACAGCTTTTAAATAATAAAAGTTTTAACTCGTTCGACTTAATCGAGTAGACGTCACGCAATAACGGATGCATTACGTTATTAAGATAACGGAGACTATGAAATTAAAGAAGAAAGACTTTCTCACCAAGTAATGATTTTACATTACTTTTAAATCTAATATCAGTCGGAACAATATTATTGTAATTATATAATATAACAATATTATTGTAGTAATATATAAATTAAAAGATAGTTTTGAATTTCTGATAACAAAGAATATAGTAACAAAGATTAAAATAAATTACCAAAAAAAGTACTGTTTTTTATTAACTATATAGTTAATCTGTCAAAGTAAACAATTTTTGAATGACATTAAAATCTCATTAAAAGATTTTGTTCTACTTAAATTTATAACGTTATTGGTTACGAGTCGTACATGTTATTAATTAAAATTGTACAAAAGTTTTACATTGTTAGGCAAATCAAAAAGATTGTTAAACAAACATTCAGTCAAGAGAAAATTTTCTTATAAAAAAAATAGTTGCCGCAAAAATGTTATGAAGAAATTTACTTAAAAAACAAAAAATCAGAAACTTTGGTAGAAAAAATGACTTTTAAAGTAAGATAACATAATTAAAACACTTTTTAAAATATACAACGGCTAAAATAGAAAAATTGTTTAAAATGTTAAAGAAATAAAAATGTGAAAGAAATCAGTGGCGGACCCATGATTTTTTCATGTTCTATTAATGACTTTATCAAGCATTATAAAGCTCAAAATTTAAGTATATTCACAATAACGTCAAACAAAAGAGTTTTGTAAAAAGTTGCGTGATTGAAGCCTGAGACCAAGAATACCAGAAAGTTTTGCAGCCCCAACCCTAAATATGAACCCAAAAAGCGCTTAATCTTTTTATTACGTATAATTTTATGGATTTCCTTTAGATTTATTTTTTTAGTTCTGTAGCACGATTTATTGTAATTTTTTTTTTTTTGTCTCGGTGTAAAAAAATTTTAAGCTTTTTCTGATTCTCTTACAGAAACATTGTTTGTTTTTGGAAAAATACGACAAATTTAAACATGCCAAAAAAAAAAAAAAGACAAATTTAAACATGAAAAAAAAAAAAAAAGGGAGAGTAATGAGCTTATCAAATACTCTAATTTACTAATATCTTATACTAAACTTAAATTTATTGCCAAGTTTAAAATTTTATTTATTTTTGTTTTAGTGTTCAAAACTTGTGACTATGTAAAGTTTACAAAAAATTCAGTCATAATTTTTGAAAACTAGATGGTTATTAAACGATATTAAAAATCTGTCGATGAATTTAAATTTAGATTAAGATCGTAAAATGAAATATTTTATCAACTCATCATCTTCATATAAGAGGTTGGGGCTACAAAACTTTAAAGGTATTTTTGTTCCCAGGCTTTAATCAACGCAATTTGATTGGAGCCTGAAAAAAAAACTATTTTTGTCCCTAGACTCCATTCAAAACATTCTTATTTGATATAAACATAAGTATATTTAAATTTGGAGCTTTCACAATGTCTAAAAGTGTCGTATCAAAAACATCACACAAAAAACTGCATCCACGCCTAAAATACTAGATTTTATGATTTTAAAATTATTTTAAGGTAACAAAAATTTTTAAAATGAAATTGAAAAACTAATTTTTTCTTTAATAACAACTTTAGCACAACTTAGTGTAATAAGAAGGTCCAAAAGATATCTTATAAATTTTATTTAAAAGTATCCATTTGTTATATTTAAAAACACTAAAAATATTTGAAAAATAATATGATAACAAAAATAAAATTATTTTTTAAAGATATAACACTATAAATATAGCGATGATTCATTCACGCTTGTTGGTACTACCTTAAACCACGCATGTTTTTATTATCTTATTATTTTGACGTTTAACTTTAAACGTTATATAAACGTCAATTTTTGACTAAGTATTGACATTAAGGATCTGACTAGTTTGCTACCTGTTGATTGTTTTCTTACTAAAAATAAAAAATTTAGAAGTTACTCAGACATCTTTTTAACCCATTTTTGGCATTGATAAATGATTAAATTCTTTATTTGTGGAATCTTCAAGTATTTTCATTATGCATCATAAGTATTAACAACTTGACAAAAAGACTGTTAAAAAGTCTATAGAAATTTGTTAAATAATTTTTTGCAACAAAATTTTTCAACAATAAATTATTTAACAAACTTCTATAGTTTTGACGTTCAAATTCGTGTTACACATATAAAAGTAACTAACTGAACTCAACAAAGTTTTTAATTTTTAATACACTCGAATGTTAGATTTGCTGATGCTAAATGTTTGACGGCGCCTTGCTTGACAAATTAAAAAATTGGAGACATTGAAAACGTTGAAAACTTATTTTAAAGCACTCAATTAAATTGCTTTTCACTTTAAAATCTAAGATTAAAGAAATAAAATTTAAATTTCTTTATATTTTTATAGTTACATTTTGATTGCAAAACTTTTTGATTGCATGAGTATGAATTTTTGGCTGATTTTTTAATGAGGTCCTAAAGGTCATTTTTAAATGGTTGCATTCATTTTTAAATGGTTCTTTTAACAAGTTAAATTTTTGAGGGTTGGTTTTCTAATGAGGTTCTTTCTCTTGTAAACCTTTTCTAAAAGACAGAGGATCTCATTAGATCCTCTGTCTTTTAAAAAATCCTTATTTAGAATAATGTACTCCTCAACAACTACAGTATTCTATATAAGAGCGATTAAAAGTTTTAAAAAGTTAGGTAAGGGAATTAGTATTAAGAATATGACTAGCGCGATAAAGAGAGGTAGATTAGCAAGATAAGTGATTGAATATATGGTTTCCGTGAGAGGTCATTAGTGGATGATAATTCAAGAAGAAATAGATAAGAGGATTTAGTAAGATCGTTGTTATTTTTTTATAATTAATATACAAATATCAACTATATTGCGATAAATAATTTAGTTTTGCTTGAGTTATAAATCAAAAGCTATTGCCAGCCCGAAGCTATCACAATAAATAAAATAATCATATAAAAGATTTTTATAAGCAATTAAAAAGTGACTTTTTTTCAAAACTGAAATAACAGGTCTAAGGATAGAATACTAGATGCTACTGCAAAATTTGTTGGAAATAAAGGAAAGTGTTGTTAATTAAATGCAACTTTAATACTGCACTTGAAAAGTTGCGTTAATGGAAAAATAAAATTTTTTTATAGAAAACGATCCAGAGGTTTTTCTATAAGCATGTTCTTCAAAATATTGTAGTAGTTATGTGACTGAGTTAGAGAATGATTAAGTTATGAATAAAATGATTTCCCAATCACTAGATCTTTCTCCTATCGAGCTTTTATGAGAAGAATTAATAGTAATGTCAAAAACAAATGCCGAATGCTGCAAAAGATGTGGAAAAAACTAGATAGTGAGTGGCATAAAATGGACTCCGGTAAATTTTTCTCCGGTAAAGAGTCTTTAAGCAGAATGCCAAGAATATGTAAGACATAAAACATTTAACGTTAATATAAAGCGGTAAAAAAAATAATAAAGTATACATTACGGGAAAGTGGGGCATTTTTTTTTTGTTTTGGCAAATTAGTAATAACGATAATATGTGAATTATTTTTCTATTACAATCAAATAATTGAAGTATAGTTAATCTATTGAGGTTATATTAACCCAAAATATAATACATGTTATAAACTCTTTCATTATGATACTATGCAACAAGACCAACAAAAGGAGTAATTTTATATCCGTAGTAGCTACAAAAGGAGTGTTTCTCAACAAAAATTTGCATGAAATAATTGGAAAAAGCTAGAATCAATTTATTTTGAACAACAAGCGCAGCTTTATTACACTACTGCAGGTCTGGAACTGAGCATGGGGCCCCCTCTCAGCATTAAAAAAAATCGTCAAATATCTTTTTCTATTATGCTTTTTTAACCATGTTTGGAGTTAACCCACGTATACCATTACCCTACTCTCCCCTATTTTATAAAAAAGTTCAAGGAGAAAACCTTTCCCGTAAATTACCAAATTTATTTTTAAACAATAAAGAAATAAAACAGAAAGATTTTATAAAGTTTTTAGGAATATTCGTTGACAACAGTGATGTCACTGAGGTTGATCTCCGTGGTGACCAAAATCACGTTCATTTTGCAAACCAATATTTTAGCTCTGATTTTTCATTCGAGGTCTTGACACCGATCCAACATGCCTAAGAACACGGGTTGTTCAGTCAAAATTAAAAGCGATAATGTAAAATATGAAATCGCGGAAGCAGTATACCAAAAAGAACCAATGTTTATTGATAAATCCAAGTTGCAAAAAGGTGCATATTTAATTGGACAGATGATACACCTGTGTTCAGTGAGGCCTGGTTTTAAAGTTTTCTTATATAATGACGTTAGCAAAATAGTGGCGAAGGAACTATCCAAATTTGGTTAAACCACATAAAAATTCAAGTTACAAGAAAACAAGTCAATCGATACAGAAAGCTCAAGATTTGAGCATGCGTATGACAAGCAGAGTCTATGACATCAGAACAAATGATGTGGCATATCAACCAAAATTGCAAGAGTTGGTTGGCGTTATAATGAAAGATGAAGACTAAGTCAAATTAGAAAAAGCGGAAAGCAATGGAGGAAACCAGTAAACTGAAAAAAACATGCAGAAGTCTGGAGTATATGGATGTCTTTAAACACAGATGATGTTCAAAGAATCAACTCGGGAGATCAAAATCAAGATTTGTTTTTAATCGCTTTGGGCGCATTGCTGAAATAGCGAAAGAGTTTGTAACCAGGAGAAAATCAATCCAAGATTTTTTTGAAGCAACTGTGGACTTGGTGGGTTTATTCTCTGTTCAGATGTATATGCTGAAGTAGACGAGATGGTTATTTTTTCTACAATGGAATTACTTGGAACTGGAAAGGGAAGAAAGAGGAAGGGAAACAAACCGAGAACTACTAAGTATGATTCAATCTTGAGCGGTCTGCAGCGGTATTACAACTAAAAGAAGCTAGAATCAATACTGGCTAAGGCTGTGGCAGAGAAAAGCTTCTTGTTGCTATCTTGGCTGAAATTATAGACACATTGAGTGTTGTGACAACCAATGCTTTCTTGCTTAAATCAGATTTTTTAGAATTATATGGAAGCAAGAAGAAGAAACGTCGGAAATGGGCAAGGACTTCCTGCAAAGTACGACAAGTCAGGAAGCTAGAAGCTGATTTCTTAGCTATTTTGAAACAGGTTTGTCAACTAGCGGTGCAAAAAAAACATGGAAAAACTTAATAGCTTCTTGAAGAGTGCAAAGAACACAAGGGTCCCATAACTCCAAACACTGTCGATATTTTGACGAGAAACAACGAGAAACAGCTGATCAATGAAACTTTGTACCTACGTCTTACGATAGAGTCTGATATCAAACAGCGATGATGAATAAAACTTTTTTCTGGAAAATTCAAAATAGTGAATTTTACAATTGACAAACTAACAATATGTTCCATTTGTAACGCAATAAAACCAGAAAATAAACTTCCTAACAACATTGATACACTACTTAGTTCAGACCTGTGAAGAGTGATGACATTTGACTGTTTGTTCATGTGATTGATAATATTGATTACTAAAGAGTTTATAACCTTTTAACAGTTGGCAGAATTATTTGTTTATTCAGATGATTTGTGAGTTAAGTTATAAATTGTCGATCGAATATTGTATTGACGCCTCATCTTTGTATGCATAAAACGCAGAATTAAATGTAGCAACCTCAAAGTCCTATAAAAATTGGAGACCATGGTTGTGGCCATTTGAGGCCATGTTTGTTGCTTCAGTACCTGAAGTTTGAAGCAGCTGCTATTTTTGACAGCCATCATGAAAAAAATGCATTTTTCTAACCTACATTGTCATGCTAGCTGCATGACAATGTAGGTTAAATTGGGATTGACAATTGGGATTTATAGAGATAGAGAATAGAATCCGGAGTAAGAAAGTGCCGAGCTCAATAAAGAGATGCAACTTTAGCAAATGCTAATTTTGCAATGGATTTGATATACGGCTTCAAACAAAGAATTAAAAGTTAATATTAGAAGATGAAGAGTAGATGACTCATCGAGTACATTACCGTTCATAAATATAGGAAGATCTAAATTATTGCAATAACGATTGGCTGAAAAAAATTGAGTTTTTCAGAATTGAAGATCACCAGCCTGTGAGCCCCATGCTGAAGCTTAAGTGAGATCCTTTGCAAGCTCAAATGCTCCCTCCAAGCAATCAGAGAGTGTTGGCTTCTTATCTTGACAAGAATAAATGGTAGCATCATTAGCAAACAATGCTACCTTAGATGTGAGAATATCTGGAAGATCGTTTATGTAAATTAAAAAGAGTATAGGGCTAAGAATTAAAGCTCGAGGAACCTCTGAAGTTACAGAATAAGAAGAAGAGTGCTGTCCATCAAGGACAACTTTTATACTACGATTGGAAAGGAAGAATTCAATTATTTTTAAGATTTTTACCAGATACACCGTAAGAAGAAAACTTATGGAGAAGACCAGAATGATAACTTTATCACAAGCTTTAGAAATGTTAAGAGCGATGGCCTTAACCTCTCCACCTTTATCTAATGCACAATAAAACCTATCGGTTATTACTGTTAGCAAATCAGCTGTAGAATAAAATCGGAATCCATATTATGAGTATATAAAGATATTAGATTCAAAATGAGAAATTAAGTGATTGCAAATTAAAGATTCAAAAATCTTGCTAATGATAGGAAGAAGACTAATCCCTACGGGCATTTATTTTTAAAAATTACGTTCTAAATGTCTTTTAAACGTTCTTTACGTAAGAATGTTTGAAAGACGTTTAAAAGACATTTAAAATACATTTAGAATGTAACTTTTAAAAACAAATGCCCGATGGGATGAGACGGTAGTTAGACGAATCAGATCGCTCTCCAGAATTTTTGAAAATAGGAATAACAGATCCCAGTTTCCAGTAGGCTGGAAAACAAGACTTTGAAAAGCGCTTGTTAATTAGTTTTGAAAGTATTGACGACAACTCCGGAGATTACTTTTGCAAGACTATAACAGGTATGTTGTCCGGACCACAAGCTGTAGAAGAGTTTAAGTAGGAAACACTTTAGATACAGAAGCTCGAGTGATACGAATGTCCAGCAATGGGTCAAGCTGTTTGACGGCTAAATTAGTTGGAACGCAACTAGTGTAGTCAAGAGATGATATTGATGAAAAGTTCTTAGCAAAATTTCAGCTTTGCCTTTAGGTTAGGTGACAAAGTCTGAACCATACAAGAGAGGTGGAATAATACGAGATTTCATGATCTGAGAATAGCGGGCTTTGGCGTTAGACAAAATCTTTTTACAATGGTTCCTAGCAGTAATAAACAGACGTCTGTTTTCTGGAGAATTTATTTGCTGATAGATATGGAGGTAACGGTTTCGATTGGAAATTGCAGCAGCATAATGTGAGGAAAACCATGGAAAAGAGTGAGGCTTGACCTGGAATTGTCGAGAGGTAATAAAAGACTCCATGCCAGCCTGAATCCACGAAGTTATGTAAGAAGCACATTTTTCAGCAGGAAATGAAAGGTTTCTACCCAAGGGCCATCACGAAGAAAATTACGGAGTCCCAGCCAGCTTTAAGGTATTTGTAAGAGGTACAAATCTAAAAAATAAGTGCACAAACTTTATGCAAATCCTTGCATGAAAAAATAAAATAATAAGAGATAAGGGAATCATTTTGCGTATCTAAATTCGAAAAGTAACAACTCAAACATGGAGAAGTTTCTAGGGCAATAAAAAACAAAAATAAAACAAAAATTTATTTAATTTTGAACTATTTAATCTTCGTCTTCTAGTTCAAGATCATCGAGATCTTGAAACAACGATTCATCTACTTTGATGCCTTGATCATTTATAAATAGAATATCAGAGTCAATCAACGAAGAATCTCTTTCAAATAATTGTTTGCCTGTTAATTTTCTATTTTTTTCAAGTAACTCCGTTTTTCGCTTTCCAATTATGCGCATCTCTTCATCAAACTGTATTTTCCAAGCTAAAAAATTCTCCATTGTTACCGGAGTACCTTTATACTAAAAAAATAAATAATATATCATATCAATATCAGTTTAAAGATTCTGCGGTCAATATTTATTGTATGATTTCAATATTATTTGTTGAAAGATCATATGAAGCCTACACGATGATTCCACGTTACTCCTTATTTTTTTATATCGTCAATAGAAAGTTTTGGAGAATCGAGATGTTAAAAAACAAAACATTTAGCCGTACCATACTTAGGTAAAAAGTTAAATGATTTTTTATATGAAACTTTTAAAATTTTTTTCCTTTTTTATAATTTAAGTTATTGCTCAAAATGAGTGCTCTGTTTCATATCGATTTATTACGGCGTAATAAATCGATATGACAAATCGATACGTGACAACAACCGACTCGAACCAAAAATTACAGAAAATCGATATTACGCTAAAACGCAACTATTTTTAAGCCAAATTTTTCAAATAAAACATAATTATACATTTATTTTTCATTAAATTTTTAGGTGATTGAAAAGTTAGTAAAAAGTTTTAATTTCCTCAATCTAATTATCCTAAATTTTAATATTGATTAAAAAATGTATTAAAGTGATAGAAGTTATGAATTCGGTTATTCTGAAAAAAAAAAAAAGTATTTTTGGGAAACATCTTTCAACAAACGTTAAAAATACTAACTGTTTTAAAAGAAAGTTTTTGAGCCACTCATCAACAAGTTGAAACACACACACATTCATAAACACACACACAAGCACGCACAAACAAAAATAGTGAAAACTTAGTGAAAATTTAAAAATTAAATTGTAATTTTTAAATTCTCTAATCTAAAAACAAAAACATAAATAAAATAACTCGAATAAAACTTTACTTTAATTTCGTCTAAACGTTCTTGCTCTAGTGCAATTCTGTCTTTTTCAAGTTGAATATCTTTTTTTATATCTTGAATAAAATCAAGAAGACGTTCTTGAGCTTCGGAAACCAATGTAAATATCATCACTGCACCTAGGTTTTCTTCTGCCTGCAGAAGCGAAAAAAAAAGCAAACCAAAGAATACAAAGAAAAATACATTAAACATAAAATAGGGTAGGCTCTCTTGTCAAACCCCTATTCCGACGTTGAGCGTCCTTTGCGTCCGCGAGCTTGTATTTCTAGAAAATAGGCGAAATGGGGTATATAGGGATTTGCGCTGCGGTGTGCACATACACCGACTGATTTTTAGAGAGAACATGCAGCGGAGTGTGGAAACAACGATTGAGGGTTTGGAGTAGGCAGGTTCTCTTTTAAATACAAAAACCGTTTTTTTACATTTTCGGACCTTAAGGACAGCGTCGGAATAACGGTTTGACAAGAGAGCCTACCATAAAATAGTAGAGAGAAAAAATTAAAAAAAAATTATATTTTAAAAATGCTTCAAGGAATTGTCAGAGTAATTTGTCTTCACCGTCGGCCTTCAAGTTTAACAATTGTAAACATATAATTTTCATATAATCAATTGTGAATATATGAACAGGGCATTCATTAAAATGATTAGCCTGGGAAAAAATTCTACTATTATTTTTCAAACTATATTTTACAGACTGGGAACGACTGGTAAAGTGAACGCTCTACAACTACAACATTTTTTAATGAATTTTCATCTTTTATAGCTATTAATAAAAACAATAATATTAATGTCAAATTAATAATAATAAAAAAAGTAAAACTAATAAATTTTATGCATTCATTTGTTTATTTGTATTAATTTATTGACTTTATTATATTTATTAATTTTCCAATTATTCATAAATTCTATTGAAATTCTTTTTTTTTTTAAGTTTAAATATTTTTTAAAGCAAAACAGATTGCTGTTTATATTCATTAGCTTTATGATTAAAAAATCTATAATAAATAACCTGCAAAACAAATATTTTATTAAGATAAAACTAATTACATGTAACAATTATTTTCTATTTAAACTTGATAATGTATATTATATTGTTGTAGACAATGACAAAAAAAAAAAAGAAAAGATGTTTCAGTATTCTGGGATTATTTCATTGTTGCCTTTGGAAGTTCAGAAGTTGCTGAATGTAATGCATGCAGTATAGAAACTTAAAAACTCTTTCCAAAGATGATTAAACAGAAAAAATTACTAAAGATTATTAAAGGTTGGATTTTATTTTAATAAGCTTTGCTTAAAATCTCTTTCCAAAAATTTAATAAAACAAAGTTAATATGCACTCATTTGCAATTTCAACACAGAGATGAACACTGTTTTGCAATCGAATTAAAAACATTAAAGATAGAAAGAAAAAAAAAAAAAAAATGAATAAGGAAAAGCAAAAAATAAAAAAATAAAAAAAAAGAATAGGTTTTTAACAAACAAATTTTAACAGTTAAAACTTTTCAACTCTTAAAGATTACTTTAAAGTACAAAAAAACTTATGATAGTCCTGACAAAAATGAGAACAATTGTTAATACTTAGGGTTTGTAAAGTCCTAAAACCATATAAAACCATATAAAACCATATAAAACAGTTTAAAAAGTTTTTTAAAATTTATAACTACTGTAAATATTAAATTAGAAAAAAACATTTAAATGAAGATTCAAAATATGAACAAAATGTGTGCATATTCAATTTAAGTCAATACTAAATGCCATATTATATGCTATCACAATTAATAATAATAATAATAATAATAATAATAATAATAATAATAATAAAATAATACTTCATTAAATAACGACTGTTTTATGTCATTTACTGCTTATTGGATAACTAAGGACTTAAAAAAAAAATAATTCAGTACTGAGAGGTATTTGATAAGTTGAGTATTGAAAATATAGGTTGCTTTGCAATATCATACAACTAAAGGTACAAAACTTAATGAGTAGAGAAACTCATATATTAAAATAATAATAACCGAATATAATCTTTAATATTACAATATGGTAGTGGTGCTGTAAAACTGCAGTGCGGTAATGGTGTAGTGGTGGTAATGGGAGTTGAGTTGATAAAGTTATAGACTTAAGAAAGTAGAAAAAAATGCAATCTCCTTGAGTCTAGTATAACTTTTATAGCATTTTATATTTTGTAGTATAACAAGGCATTGTCCTTGGGGAGATAAATAACATCATTTAAAAAAAAAAGGTACTGCTTTTAAATCCAGCATGTTTTTATTCATATTTAGCAAACATTGCTTTTATGAAATATAATTTTCAAAGTAACAAGACATTTTTACTACATTTTTGATTTTGCACTGTGTAATGCAACAAAAACAGGCGATAAAACATGCTTAAGACAGAATTAGAAATTTGCATAGAATCAAATAATTGTACAACAAAAAATCGAAGTTTTATAGCTCATATTTAAGTTTTTTTAAATAGATAATGCTAACTAAGAATCAGCAAGTGAAATCTACTGAAAATTACTTTCCTAATTTCAGATATCTTTTGACCAAAAACCTCAAGATTGAGTTCAATTGTGTAACTCAAACACTTTCATGATTTTTTTGAAAGTTTTTTATCAAGGGAAAAAACATTTCCAAATATTGAAGAAAATAAACAAATTATGTTTATTTTCTTGAATATTTAATATAGTTAAATATATTTAAAATAGAACTTCATTTATTTGAATATTTAAAATTAAACTTCATTTATTAATTTTTTTATTATCATTATTCATTAATACTATAAATATTTAAAAATTGAACTTCATTTATTGGAATTGATGTTCATAATTAGTGATTAGTAAATAATTTGTATTGACTTGTATTTGTATTTACTTTTTCAGCAACTGATTTTGCAGATTCAGTTTAAATATCAGTTTTAACATGATTAATCTGACTAATTGTAAGGTACAGCAACTTCTCATTTGCCAAATTTGCCAAATGAGATGTTGTTGAAGTTGTTGAAGACGAAAGTATAGTCAATACAAATTTTTTACTAATCACTAATTATAAACATCAATTTCAATAAATGAAGTTCAATTTTAAATCCAAATAGGTTAGAAAAACAAAACATTAAGGTTTGCAAATCATCAGAGAAATTTGTGTGGAACAGTTTTAGTAAACAATGTATCAGATAATGAAGAATGTAATGGACTCCAACTAAATGCAACTTATACTAAGTTGCAGAGGTATGTAATAATAAAGGAAATAAATATTTTAAAAAATCAATTATTGGATTGGAACTTATTGGAGAGCTAGCCAAAGTATATTTATGTTCACCTCCAAGCTTAACTACAAGTGAGCAGAAATTTAAAGATTAACACAAAAACATTAGACTAAAAAACACTTTTTCTTTAAATTAAAGACTTTGTTTTTATGCTCAATGCTGATGTTAAGCTATGAAGATTTTAAACTACCTATTAAAAAAATATATGTTTGTAAATGTATATTTATATGTAAGTTATATGAATATTTAATGCATGTTTATATTTTGCAAGTGTGTAAATATCTTTTATATATGAGGCGTTTCTATAGTTGTGATGTGCTATAATGTTATGTGTTAACAGTTTGTAAGTGATTATTATGTTGTTTCCATATTTTTAAACTGTTGTGCCTTTGCTTAGTTTACAGCAAGAGTATTGTCCTTGCTAGCTAGCACTGTCATGATGAAACACATAAATTAAATCTGTTTGTAGTTAGTGTAATCATAAAATTTGTTGAAAAGATATTGTTGAAGGAATGTGTTTAAAAGAAATGTTGAAAAAATATAGATTTAAAACTGCAATAAGATCTGGAATCTTTAGATTTTTTAGAATCTTTAGAAAGAATAGATTTACCTAAAATGTAAATCTGATTGTGATGATGCTAAAAATAAGGAAATTATTTGATAAAAACTAATAATACACAAAATTATATACATTATGAAATCAATCATCTTGAACGTACTTATTGGATCCAATAATACTTATTGAATTCTTATTGAATGAATAACCATATACTATGGAAATAATTTTAATTTTTATTAATTTTCTTAAAAAAACTTTAAATTTAAAAATATTAATTTTAAATAAGTCTTTTTAAAGTATATTGTTTATATATTCTTGTAAATAACCAAATTCTCTATCTATTAAAAAATCTTTCATAAAAAAATATGTTTCTTATCAAAAACAAATTAAATTTTTTAAATTTTGATTGAAATTCGGCTAACTTAACCTACTATGAGTATAAAAAATAAAATTTAAGTATATATTATTTTCAGTTTACAAACATTTAATTATTATTTTTTTAATTTAGTGGTTATATTGAAATTTCTATCAAAATTTAAAACAAATTTTTTCAATGTTGTTAATTTTTATAATTTTGTTGATTAGCTGCTGATTTTGATTTTAAATAATTTGTAAATGTCTTTTTTTTGTTATTGTGGGTTTCTATGTTTTTTGGTAAGCAATGCACTATGCAAGGTTTTTTATCTTATTGTTTTTTCGCAAAGTGTATAGAAGTCTACATCAAGAAGAACAATGCTTCAGCAGCAACTTCACAGAATAATTATTTTTCTTGTTTAAAAAATCAATAGTTATTTCTTTATCTTTATTAGAAACACGCATATTCTGAAACTTGTGTACCTTTACATAAATCAGAACTTCTCAACCTTTCTGGGAAATTCATTTCTGGGAATTTTAAAAAAACAAAAGAAAAAAAAAATTGTGTTTAATTTCGCTGGTGCAAGTTTAAAAAAATATATATAAAAAAATAATAATAATAAAAATACCAAAAAAATCAAAAATCAGAATTTCAAGAGGAATACACAAATCTGATGAATCCATTAAAGTAAATAAAATATTGAAATTAGTTAATTGCTTAACTTTTTTTAAGTTAAACAATGGGTTAATTGCTTTACCCATTGTTTAACATGATCACCTTGCAATTTTGGATGCAGGACTTTCCAGAAAATCAACTACATGCACATAAAACATCAATGTTGTTTTGCACTAAATTTGCACTAGATTTGAGAAACTAGCTGACATCAGCAAATAGGTTTAAAAATACTTTTACAAATTTAGGCATGTTGTTCAAAAACACCGAAAATAA